GAAAATGGTTCGATGTCCCCCGGTGTCCTCTCTCGAATGACGAAAACCGCAGGTCTCTACAATGTTCCTATGAAAAGTTATTCAAAAAACAGTGGAGGACATTATATTTTGAAACGGATAATAGTCAGAAGTAATCTACGGGGCTGAGTTGAATGGTGATAATCATTATTAGATTCACACTGTTATCTCAACATTTCTGGAATTCTACAATCAATCTTCAAATAAATTTCGAGCCTAAAAGCAAAAACCACCACTTAACTCAACATGGTGAATTATCTCTGTCTAGCTACTTTTCCCGGCTAATCATAGCTCCATTAACTACAATCGAGTGTCTCAGAAAAAATTTTCTAACTTTCGAATGGAACAATCTAGAAATGTCGACCTTGTGTTAATCGAAGGAGAAGAATTTTTTCTATCGAATAGTTTCATTAGAAGTATAAATCAAAAGCGCAATAGCTTCATAATATCGTTTTCGAAAATCTCCCTCGTGAATTGACATGAGAGTTTAATTGCTGACTAATCACATTTCGATGATCTCTGATTTTCTCTCTTGTGAATAATGAAAACCGCACAGATCTTTACGATGTTCTTATCAAAAGCTATTCAAAGAACAGTGGAGCACATTATAGCTATTTTGAAATATTTAAATTCAGTACTACCATCACAAAAGTTTTCTCCAAACAAAATGAATATTAACAAAAATTCTCCTAAAATATACGTATTGTACAAAGTTTTTGCTTTCATAAATATATTCTTGAACAATAAAATATTTTGTCAAATGATCAATGGAATTCGAATATATTTATTTCAATTAATTTTATAATAAAAATATATTTATTTACAAAATTTAATTGCTATATCATGAGATTTATTTATAAGTTAAATATATATATATATATGATGTATTATAAACGATTTTCAAAAAAATTATCAATAATCGATTCGAGTGTACGTGGATCATAACGAATATATTTTTCACGATTTCTTGTAAAATCTTTATTTGCAAATTTATTATAATAAGTTTTAAACATATCCATAATTAACATTTTGCCTTCTTTTTTTAAACGATCACGTAAATCAACATCGCTAACGATATATTCTTGACATTGTAGTCGTAAATTATCAATAGCTGTATTAACAGATGTAAAACTATCTTTTAATTGTTCACGATCACGATCACGTAACTAAATAATAATAAAAAAAAACAACGTATTGAAAAAACAAAATAAAACACAAACTTTTCCATCGGATAAACGATTAACATTATCATATTCGAGCATTTGTTGAATAGCAATAACTAATGGAGTATAACTAAAATAGAAATAGTTCATAATAAAATTTTATTTAATTATCTTATTCTTAAGAAATTTTATAAATCACATTTATTTCTATTAGTCATCTGCTGTGTTTTTTGTTACGCATTCAACTGCATTATTCCAAATTTAATACGAAATCTTCTAGATATTCACTATGATACATAGATGTCTGACAGCTCACAGTTCAATAGAGACCTGCGGAGTCAACTTTTTTCATTCCGAAACCCAACTCCGATTCCGACTCCGAAATTTTTTAACAATGTCATTTAAAAATAAAATGTTCTCAGCAGCCAAAGGACTCTTTAATGACTTAACATGCGCACGTTTTACACTAAAAATCTCAAGTTTCTCTTTAAAAAAAAACCAGTTTATGGATGTTATCATC